ATTATATACTTTCCATCATTATTTATGATTTTAACTAACTTGTTTGTCCAACTTTGTGTAGAGTTTTTCTCTTCGGGAGTGGAAAGTAGTCTAACTCATCTTGATGATTGAAGGGTATTTCAAATTTCCAATAAATGAGGTATATTATCATTGATGATTAAATGGTTTAGGGTTTAGTTGGTTAAGTTGGTTAAATTTTTTGGCTATGTTGGTTAAATGTTTTGAACAATTGTTGTGAACTGATTTTCAATAGTTGGTTATGTCCGGAAGTGGAAAATAGTGTAACTCATCTTGATGATTGTTGTGTTTATTTATTTTAAATTTTTTGAACTACTTTATGCAGTTAAAACTTATAAGGGAATTAAGAAGGGAGACAAGCTCCATGCCTCCACCTGTTTTGCACCACCCTTTGCATTGATATTATTTTGTGGACCACCTTTTGCATTGATATTATTCAGTGGACCACCTTTTGCATTGATTTTATAACCAAAACCGGTCCGATTTTGGTTTGCATTTTGGCTAAACCAAATAACCGGTTCGGTTTTCGATTTGCCTAATCCGATTCAGTTAACCAGATTATCCCACCCCTACCTACGGGGCATTGGCGACCTTACTCTTTTCTCAATTGAATCTTTCCAAAAGGGATCTTAACGTTTCGCCTTTCTCCTGCTGTAACAACTCCTCTTTAGTACTATTCTTATAATACGTACCATGTAAAATATAGATATGTATATAATATGAAAGATAGTGGGCTCAAATTTTTCTTTACTCATAAAAATATACTTCTTTATAAATACAAAATACCATGTATTAAAAACTTTCTAATTAATACAAATATCATAGCTGGTGGACAGTGGTGCCAATACTCTTCGCTCCTCGACGTCCATTCGACCGCTGCTCCTATTTCCTGCAAAACAGAGAAAAAGAATGGGGTGAGCACAACAATGCTCAGTAAGTAAATCCTCTACTACTATCCCCGCAACTCACTCTTTGGTTCTTTCCTTACTCGACTGTTCTGCTATTTCTATTTCTCACTGTTTTTCTCTTTCTTTCTAATACTGTTATTCTCCTTTAACTCTGTTTTGCTCTTATTTCTTTCTTTCTCTTTGTTCTTTTTCTCTTATTCTTACTTACCATGAAGAACAATTCATGGTTCTCTCTTATTCTCATCATACTTACCATGAAGGAAAGTCATGGTTCTCTTTTTCATTCTCGATATACTCTCGCTAGCCATTGAAGAACTCATGGTACATGCATATATGAGATGTACATGCAACTAATGTAAAAGAACTGCATGTTTCTTTCTTCTACTCTTTATTCTTACTCTCTCTCTTTCTATCTCATTCTTTCTTAAGCTTTCTCAAGCTTTCTCATTCTTTAATTCTTTCTATTATCTCATTCTCATTTCTGTTTCTTTTTCTCATAATTCTTTTCTGTTAACTCTCTTTAGTAATCACGGCCTCATCTTACCGGAGGCACGACCGGGACTCGCTCCCGCTCTACGTGACTTCTACTCATTCTAGCCGATCTAACTTGGTTATGCATGGATTCGGAACCCTTGGCCACGTGAGTGTATAATCTCTCTCTCGGGTACTCAGGTACTCGGGTATAGCCCTCATCCGCATGCACTCTCACGGGCTACACCACTTCTCTATCTCAGACTCATGCCACTCTCTCAATGCGGCGCACATGCGGGAATACTCTACCCATTACTCACGGGTTCCCCATCGCATAACCTACTCTATGCTCTTATCTCTCTCTTATTCTTCTCATGTTTGCTCATCTCTTTCTCAAACTAGTAGTCATAATATAGCTCAACTCTTAGCTTGTCTCATCTCTATTCCTTCTCATTCTTACTCATTGGAATGTCACGACCTCATCTGACCGGAGGCACGGCTGGGCGCTACCACTCTACGTGACTTCCGCTCATTTCGCTACCGATCAGATTTAGTTATGCATGGATTCGGAACCTTTGGCCATGTGAGTGTACAATATCTCTCTCTCTGAATGTCACGGCCCCATCTGAGCGGAGGCACGGCTGGAACCTCATGTTCCACTCTGCGTGACGGTCACGGCCTCATCTAACCGGAGGCACGTCTGGAACCTCGTGTTCCACTCTACGTGACTCTACTCGTCACTCACAGGTTCCCCATCACACAACTTACTCTATTCTCCTCTTTAACTCTTGTGCACAAGATCTCTATTCTTTCTCTAGCTACTAATCATAATGTAGCGTAACTCTTAGAGTAATTCTCTACTCTTTCCCAACTTTTCTCTTTATTATCAGAGTATTCTCATTCTCTTTACTCTTAAGAGTTGCTATTCTTAACATTCTCTACTTTTTCTCACTCAAACTATTACTCATAGTATAGCTTATACTCAAAATTCTTTACTTTTAAGCTAGAACTCACAAGGTAGCTCATACTCAACATTCTATATTCTTTCTCAAACTACTTCTTAATGCACAAATTATGCATATGGATGGTTCATACTTAATAATGCACTTTTGAAATGCCAAATGCAAGAATTCCTCAAAACAGTCATTCTGCACAGGTCACACTAAAAAGACCATAACTTTTGTTATACACCTCTGATTACTGCGGTTCTGGTCTCGTTTTAAAGCTTAGAAACAGAGATACAACTTCTCTGTTTTTGTCTCAGCCCAGTTCAAACCGTAAGATGCTCAAAAATTACTTAGAAAGTTACAGCAGTGACAGGGCAGATTTCACTTAAGCATTTCATCAAACAACTCATGTGCACATAAAAACTCTTCTCTAACTACAACTCTCCTTCTCTTTTTAACCATCCAGAATTGTAAGTAAATTCCTTTCCATGGGCATAAACCCTACCATAGAAAAACACTCCCAAAATACATACTCAATCTCCTCCAACTTCATCTCAAACTATTACTCATAAACACTTTCCATAAAGGAAATATCCAACAAACATAATATAAATACTCTTCTCAACTCAATTTCTCAACAAATAAACATACATCTCTACTCAATTTCTCAATAAGCATCATATATACATGCATAAATAAATCTCTACTTAAGAATTTCTTAAACTTTAGCTTGAGTTGGATTTACTTACCTCATACTTGAGTTATAACCTGTGACGGAGGTTTTCAAGTGTTGCAACTGCTTGATAGTGAGGAACCCTATGAGCACATATGATGGGCCATTCTAGAAAACGTCCGTAAGCTCCAGTATTATTCTAAAGTAAGGGCACAGATAATCGGTAAGGCTATCATAGTATTGAACGAATCTGTCGAAAGGCAGTGACTGATCTTAGCTTGTCAAGGTTGTTGGTGACAACCTAGTGCAACACATGGGTGCTTGCTGTAGGGCGATTACACCACAACAAGTTCACTGGACTGACTACAGAGGATTCATATGGATGGTAACCCCAATGCCAGTGCCTATGGAACAAATCCTCTAACGAATGGTGGTGCATGTGATCCTTAGACTGAGATCACCGGAGCACTGAAAGATCCGCATGCATGAAGAGTGGTGGAGGATGAGAATGAAAGCTGGATTAAAAAAACGGTTTACAGCAAAGCTTGGATATGAGATTATCCTACTCCTTTGCTTTGGATTGATGAAGATTAGCTTCAAAAGGATGAAACCTCTACACTTTAACACCACTGAGAGGTTTAAGAGATGGTCGTGGCTTTTAGAGAGAGTTTGGTTTGCTTTGAGTGAACAATGTGTGTTATGAAAAACAAAATGCAACCTTTGCATTTATATATACTGGGCAATGTTGGCAATTATTTATTTTCACTTCAAAGCCCAATAAAATCTTATTTTATAAAGGGACCCCATGAATTTATTATGCTACCCTTGAATAATCATATTATTCAAGGGCCCATGTAAACTAAACTAGTTTACAATGACAACCCATAAAGTTACCCTTTACCCTTTAACTATTAAAGGTTATTTTTGTTCATCTCATTAATCTAACACTTTAAGACTTAATCTTAACACTTTAAGATATAATAATTAAATATAATTATTATTGCTTGACCATTTTTAATCTTAAAATGTCACAATAGTTTCTATTAACTAGTGGCTATAGAAATCGCCGTTATTACCCTCGGAAGGTGCTAGCCCTCTTCGAATAATCATTTCTCTTCTCATCCTTCTGCTAACTTCTCAAGGCTATTGTGTGACCATGTAGGTCCACGTGGATCTAGCCGTGGCCGGTTCTGCATGAATCGGAAAATCTGTCCGAGGTCCAACGACTATGGTAAACTTCTATGCAATGTGCCATAGTCCCTAAACCCACGATGAAAAATACTTCATCGAACCCCATTTCAGATCATACGTACCAGGCGTAAATCCCTCCATTGAGATATCCTACATAATGCGAGTATGGATTCAGTGAACGTCAAAATCCTAACTCGATCTTCTTCGAATTATCGATCAATATGTCCGAAGACTTGTCATCACAAACTTACTTTGTAGACTAATATAGCTCTGGCAGTCAGGAATATTGATTTTTAGATATTTTTGTCATTGTGTTATTTTTTTATTTTTACTGGTTCTTAGATTTTATTTGAGTTTTTGACATTCTAGCGATGTCGTGTAGGAATTCAAATCGGATGGAGTCCGTCAGGTATCTCCGGATTCTAGTATTGTCCGACGTCAATGAATCCGCCTCTTGACCACGTTTGTTTCCCGCAATACTGAACCAGCGCTATATGACCAAAGTAGCTGTTATTGTAATGAAAGATGATTAGTGCTCGTACTTATAACCACGCGTATGTTAACGCATTGCGCATCCAGTATCGGGATCCGACCTACTGTAACACCTCTCTTTATGTAGGGGGGGGGAGGGGTCGCTATTCTTATACTACATAAGTATGAAAATGCTTTTGAAGAGCCACATTGTCCTCAAGGTGGAAGTGAGGAAATTGAGTGTTGATGACTTCAAAGGGTTCCCAATTCGCTTCAAAGGTAGGGAGATCTTGCCAACGTATGAGCACCTCCTTGGAGCGATCAAGAAGGGTCTGCACAGCTAAGAGGCAGGGGCTGAATGGGGACTGATATGTGAAGATTGCGCTTAAGCTGGGACATATGGAATACGGGATGAATGCGGGCTTTGGGCAGAATTTTCAGCTTATAGGCCACCTGACCGACCTTCTCTAGCATCGAAAAAGGACAATAAAACCTTGGGCTAAATTTCTCATTCAATTTTTTTGCCAAGGACTTGAATTTATAGGGCTGAAGCCTAGGATAAACATTGTCACTTGGAACAAAATTGATATCTTTGTAGTGGTGATCTGCTTGCATTTTCATGTGGACTTGAGCACTTTCCAGGTTGTGCTTGAGTTCCTGGAGGATGGCATTGTGCTCTCGAATTTGGTGGTTCACATCCTCCACCAAGGAGGGATAATCGGTGAGCTTAAGGAGGGTAGGTGGGTCATGACCATATAGTGCCTTGAAGGGCGTCATTTTGGTTGATCGATGATAAGTTGTATTGTACCAAAACTCAGCCCAAGAGAGCCAATTCGACCAATGATGGGGCTGAGAACTACAAAAACATCTCAGATATGCCTCCAAGCATCTATTCACCACTTCGGATTAGCCGTTCATTTGTGGATGGTAAGCGGAACTGAACTTCAAAGTTGTCCTCGAAGCCTTGAAGATTCCTTTCCAAAATTGACTCATAAAAAGTCTATCTCGATCTAAGATGATGGACTTTGGGAACCTATGAAGTTTCACAATCTCCTTCATAAAAATCAGGGCCACCTCCTTAGCATTATAAGGGTGGGACTGTTGGAGTAGGTGCCCTAAAGCCAATCAATTATTGTGGAATTGACTCTTTATAATAATGTTCATTAATCAATAAAAGACATTTTATACTATATCGCGTAAATCATTATTATTGCAATATGTATTGATATATGTCCTTAGAATGGTAGAANATGCGCCAGCATGGCATTCTTCATCAATCCTCTTGTGTTGACACACCATCCCAAAATGGAGTAGCCGAGAGGAAAAATAGGCACCTTCTTGAAACCGCTCGAGCCCTATTATTTCAAATGCAAGTTCCTAAACAGTTTTGGGCCGACGCAGTTTCCACGGCTTGTTTTCTAATTAACCGCATGCCTTCCTCTATTTTGAATGGTTCCACTCCTTACAGTGTTCTTTTCCCGTCTAAGTCTTTGTTTCCTATTGTCCCAAAGATATTTGGTAGTACTTGTTTTGTTCGTGATGTTCGACCCCAAGTAACCAAGTTAGATCCCAAATCTCTTAAATGTGTTTTTCTAGGCTACTCTCGTCTTCAGAAGGGATATCGATGTTATTGTCCTAGTCTTAATAGATATCTGGTGTCACCTGATGTTACTTTATTAGAAAACACCCCTTTTTTTCCTACTTCGTCTACCTATACACGTCAGGGGGAGGACGATGACTTACTAATCTATACTGTCACGTCCACACCTGAGTCTTCCCCACATACTGTTCCTCCTCCGGCACCATCACTTGTCCGTCCACTACCTCCAATTCGCATTGTCTATTCTCGTCGACAGGAACCTCTTGTACCAGTCCCTTCGTCGTTAGACCCAGTCCCTAGTGATCCTGATACCTGTGTTCCTCGTCAAGAAGACACTCAGACTTCCTGTCCTACCCAAGACTCTTCGTCGTTGGATCCAACCTTGAGTGATCTTGATCTTCCTATTGCTCTTCGGAAAGGTAAACGTCAGTGTACTTATCCTATATCTTCATTTGTTTCTTATGATCACCTATCATCTTTTTCTTGTTCTTTTGTGGCATCACTAGACTCTGTCTCCCTTCCTGCAACTGTCCATGAAGCCTTATCTCATCCTGGTTGGCGTGATGCTATGATAGAAGAGATGACTGCNCTACGTATTTCAAGTGGGGTATTACAATTCTCCCCCCCTTAAAAGAATTTCGTCCCCGAAATTCGATGAACAACTCCGAGTAACGATTCTGGATACCTTACTTTACCTCTCGTACTTTCACTGGAGGGAAATTCTTGTTTTGGAAGCTCCTTGATCTCTCTGTCCAATATTTAGACTGGACACTCCTCAAACATAGAACTCTCAATCTCCATCCTCAATACTCAAAACATGTGAGGGCTCACTTGTATACTTTCGAAGCATCGAAATATAAAACACATTATATACACTCGTCCATACTAGTGGGGAGTATCAAACATCTTTCCCACTCATTATAATATCTCACATGGACTTTTGTACCTCGATGCTAACTTTTCTCTACTATTAAACACGTTACCTGGTCATAGGGAAAAAAAATCTTAAAATAAAGCACTCTAACACCCACTCTGAATTCAATAACTTTTCTTTTCAAATCTGTCAAACTTTTCTATTTCACTTGGGCTTGATCGATTCTACTTCTGATAACTTTATCTCTTCGATCAATTCCTGAGTCATTTTTAGCCCAAGAATTGTCTTTAACTCATCTTTCTTGCCTACACATCTCGGTATAGTGGAGTTCAACATAGTCTGCCATGCCAAGTCTCGTAAAGAGCCATTTTATTTATAGATTGAACTCTTAACATGGCAAATCCTTGCTAAAATGATCTCAATCTTCATACTTTTTGATCTAGCTCTAACCATCTTTTCTGCCTCATACTCAAATCCCTCTAAGTAAGGAGATTCATTAAACTCTTAGGGCTGGTGTAAATCTTACTCTGGGCACCATACAAGTAATGCCTTCAAACTTCAGGGTAAAGACTACTACAAACTGAGCAAGACAATTAAGAAACACCCTGATAATACCCCGACCTCCAATCACTCTTGGAAATACTATTGTACTCCTTATCTGGTCTAAAGATCATCCGTCCATGGTAACGGGCATTTATTCTTCATTATCGGTTATTCACATTCGTAATGACCCTTCCTTCTTCCCTACAAACAAGATCGGAGTTCCCCAGGGAGAATGCCTCGATTGAATAGGACCTTTATTTCAGAACTCTTGAAGACACTTCTTTAATTCTTGAAGCTCGGCTGGGCCATTGGATAAGGGATTTAGACATCGGTGCTGTACCTAGTGCCAGTTCAACACTAAACTCAACTGCTCTTTCCGGAGGTAAGCCCGGATAACTCATTCAGAAATACCTCTAAAAGTTCTCAAACTACTGGCACACTCTGCATCTCTGGTTATGGGACATCACTACTCAGCACCACATGAACTATCTGTCCAAAATACCCTTTTCTTAACATCTTTGTTACTTTCACATTACTGCTCAACATACTGAATGAATGACCCGCTGCAATTCTGGAAATGATATTATGAGTGACTCTCATTCTTCCCTCGGTAATCAATCTCTACTCCATTTCTCCTTTAGGGAACTCGTGCTCAAAAACATCCAAGTAGGGCAAAGGACACTATCTAATCAATTGTTAACTCTTTAACTCTTTTTCATGGATCACTACGAACTTTACTGAATAAGTCTTCCCTCCTCTCAAACTTCACTCTAAGCTCGAGGGGGTTCTATTTCCTCTAATTTTAGCCCACGGACCACTTGTCTTTTCTCACTTCCGAAGTACTCATTACTCCAGATACAAACCTTACAAGGGAGTTAACTCTCACTGTCTATTCTTCACAGTACTCAATCCTTATTAAAACTAATAAACTTTTGTACCGTCTTATGAACTTTGCCAACTGATCTCAACTTCAACCATCTTCTAAACTCTTCTCAAATCATGACCAAACCATCGTGGGTATCCTCCATTAATGCCCACAAAACTTGGGCATCCCTCTAAGACAAGAGAATGGTATACCGGATCTTCACCCGGTCTATTAACCACTCAACGGCTAAACCATTCTTTTACTACCAACGGGTCTGTTGTATAAAAACTTAGAAACCCATAAATCGATTCAATCTGATTCTATACCATCTAAGGTATTGACCTTTCTCTTCTCTTCTAGTAGGTCGCACTTGGATGGGGTTTCAATCCTTTCTAATTCAACTCGAGGAAGTAAGTTTCCCTGCACTCACTGCTTTCTTAATCTCAACTCATACTCGGGTCTTGTATCTCATTACAAGACAACCACATTAAACAACTCAAATAACACTTAAGCAAAGAAAGACTTAACTGACAACAGTCGGCTACGGAACGTCATAGCGGTGAGAATGGCACACTGTCAAATCCCAAAATCTTTGCTCTGATACCAAAAATGTAACAACTCCTCTTTAGTACTATTCTTATAATACGTACTATGAAAAATACAGATATGTATATAATATGAAAGATAATGGGCTCAAATTTTTCTTTACTCATAAAAATATACTTCTTTACAAATACAAAATACNTATTAGGATTGTAATCAATACGTAATAGGAACAAATCTGTAAAATAGGAGTGTATAAATCTATAATAGGATATTAGGATTGTAATCAATACATAATAGGAACAAATCTATAAAATAGGAAGTTAGATTTTTTTATTTCCTAGATTAGATTATTTATTTCCTAGATTAGTTCTTTATTTTCCTATATATTGATGTATAATTTGTCAATACTATATGAGAAAATTACAATCAGTTCTCTGTTTGTAACATCTTTAAATTGTCTTTTAAGTATATGACCCATAGGCTCTTTATCATGTCGGTAGTGATTAATATTGTGACCAAAACCCTATTAATTGTCTCATTCAACACAGACCAAGATTGGCCTATAGCAAGGCATCATGGCCACCTGACAGATTCAGATTCAGCATATTTGCTACCTGTCAACAGTATGGTTACCGTACAATCAAATCCTTTCATCATCTATTATCTCATAAAGTTTTGAAACATAGAAATAATGTCCGCTTCAAGTATAAACCATCTTGATGTATTCAGATTCGGTTATCAGACCAATCGACCAACTGAGCACCAGCTCGATTCTACTGTGGCCACAGATGTAAGGTCTTTGTCTCTTATCGAATCTCTCACCAGGATAATTTCTCCTATACCCAAGAGTGACAAATTATTTGATTGACTAATAACCCTAAGTAGGATTACATTTGGCTAGAGTCAAACTATACCGATATTTACACATGGCGCTCTAGTGATCTCAAGTATAAGGACCACATGCACCACCATTCGTTAGAGGATGTATTCCATAGACACTTGGATTACCATCTATATAGAATCCTCTGCATGGGCCAGTCTGGTGGACTCGTGAATAACAAGCACTCTTGCATTGCACCAAGTTGTCACCAAACAACCTTGACATGCGAGATATATCACTACCTTTAGATAGGGTAGTTCAACGCTATGATAGCCTTACTGTATTATCTATGCCCTAAGTCAGGATAATGCTAGGGCTACAGACGTTTATAGAATGGCCACCAAATGTGATCATAAAGATTTCACTATCAAGACTTATCATTGCTTAATTCCCTCGTCACAATTCAACCACTCTTAAAGACATATATTAATATATATACATATGGAATAGTATTTACATAATATAATTG